CGGTCGCATTCGGAGCTGAGAGGCTGAGGGATCCCCAGCGCCATGGGAGTCCGGCGCTGGAGAAAGGTAAGTGCTGAAGACACACACACTCTCACTTACAGACGCATACACACTAGCTAAAAGACAAGCACATTTACTGACAGAGACATACTCAGTGACAGACATACATACACACTCACTTACAAAACATACACTCTCATTGACAAACACACACTCACTAACAGACATCACACACACACTCAGTAAGACACACACAGTAACACACTCACTGACACTCACTAGCAGACACACACACTAACACTCACTCTAACACTCACACACACACTAACACTCACTCTAACACTCACACACACACTAACACTCACTAGCAGACACACACACTAACACTCACACTAACACTCACTCTAACACTCACTCTAACACTCACACACACTCTAACACTCACACTAACACTCACACACACACACTCACTAACACTCACACATGTTTTTTTTTTTTTCAAATGTAATTCTCCCAGCCTCCTTACCTTTTGGAGTGCTGGGGGGATTCCCTGGGGTCCAGTGGTACTGCTGGGCTCCTGGGCGGGTGGCCGGTCAGGCAGGCGCGAGGGAGCACTCAGTGCTTCCTCTTCAGCTCCCTCGCGCACCGCACTGATACCGGAGCCAGAAGATGACGTCATCTTCCGGCGCCGGCATCCCTACGCGGCGCACGAGGGAGCTGAAGAGGAAGCACTGAGTGCTCCCTCGCGCGCCCGCCTGCCCGACCGGCCACCCGCCTGCCGGGTGTCAGCAGGGCCAACCTCGGGGGCCGTCGGGTGGTCGGCTCCTGGGCCCCCCAGGGGAAGAGGCTGGCTAAGTGGGTACATACCGGGTCGACCCTGGTATGTACGCCACTGCCCACTCCATCACAACGTTACGACCTACACGGTCTTTGTTAAGCTACTAAGTGGATGTATACATTCATTTTTATAGGAATACAAGTGATTAACAATTAAAGGACCACTCTAGGCACCCAGACCACTTCAGCTTAATGAAGTGGTCTAGGTGCCAGGTCCAGCTAGGGTTAACCCATTTTTTCATAAACATAGCAGTTTCAGAGAAACTGCTATGTTTATGAATGGGTTAAGCCTTCCCCTATTTCCTCTAGTTTCCTCATTGACAGCCGCTAGAGGCGCTTGCGTGCTTCTCCCTGTGATTTTCACAGTGAGAGCACGCCAGCGTCCATAGGAAAGCATTATGAATGCTTTCCTATATGACCGGCTGAATGCGCGCACAGCTCTTGCGCATTCAGCCGACAGGGAGGAGAAGAGGAGGATCGGACGAGGAGAGCTCTCCGCCCAGCGCTGGAAAAAGTTACGTTTTACCCCTTTCCTCTCCCCAGAGCCGGGCGGGAGGGGGACCCTGAGGGTGGGGGCACCCTCAGGGCACTATAGTGCCAGGAAAACGAGTATGTTTTCCTGGCACTATAGTGGTCCTTTAACATGGTTACATCAATCAAACAATTAGTTAAATTACAACCATAAATTCAATTACATCCATATACAACCCCCAGTATAATCTCATTGATAGTAAAAGCTAACAGTAAAGATAGTAAAGGCACTTAGTAGCACTTGTGATGGAGTGGGTTCAATAAAATTGCCTGGTTTGTACCTTGGAGTGCCTGGGCCTTTCTTCTATTTTGTTACTCAGCATTTCGTCTCTGGTACTGAGACTGTCTGAGTTGCACCCAGCTACATACTACTTAAAGGGACAGAGTGCAGTTCCACACCCCACCATAACTAGCTTTTATTAGTATAACATGTTCACACATAATTGTAAAAAAAGGGGGGTCAGAGTCAAGCACGCGTAAAGACATTGAAGCCCAATACTTTCCAATGTAAACCATCTAGATAATGAACCCCCCATAAATGACAGTAATCTTAACACATCATACAACACTCAAGTTACCACAGTCACCGAGGGCATCTTATTCAGTGCCACCAAGGCCATCGTCAAACACTTGTAGAGGTATACCCAGATACCGCTACACAGCTACTTATCAGCTCGAACCTAACAAACAAATGCAAATGTAATTATTGCTTCTGAACTTCCCCACCTTACTAAGCCAACGTACCCCAATTATCTTATCCATCCCCCACCACAGCACAGAGCTTGACCCCTCAAGCTACCTGAGCGCCCCCACCTGCCTACAAAGAGCCTCTCTTAGTCCTTCATGAAAACCCAAGTTCAGGACGTCCGTGCCCACCTCAGAAAGATGCACTCCATCATACCAGTAATAGCTTGGAAGCCAGCTTCTAATTCCTTGTGCCGAATCACAGCCCTTAATCTCTTAATGAAGACCGCCATTGACTGATTGATCTTAATGCAACTTTTAGCTATAGCCGCAGGGATTCTAGCAAAACGCCAATGCACACGTGGTACCATTTCCGACCACACAATAATTACACCTGGGACCATAGTACTCAACCTGTCCACATGCCTCTTCATTTGTCCGGATCAATTCCCTTTGGGGTACCAGACCCACGTCGTTACCCCCGGCATGGATTAAAATAAAATCCGGAACAATGCCCTGCCCCATTCTCCTAAACAATTCTTCATAGATGTCACCCCTTCTAAAATCATGATAACCAAACCAATGTAATTCAAGTACATCCCACGAAAACCCAAGCTGTCTCTATTTTGATCGAACTGTGGCTCTCTGTCCCGCCCAGTAGACAAACGAATGTTCTATTATCCAAGCAACTCGACCTAAAACAGAAGAGAAACACATAGCACCAACACATAAGCCATTCCTCCCCCTTTTTTTTTCTTTACCGCCTTACACTAACCAATCAGGTCGAACATAAGACCTGAACCTCACCAATTTCCATCGCTCAATCTTTTTTTTTGTTTTTTGTTGTGCATGTAGGTACAAAATATCCACAAACGCCACAGCAGCGTATATCAACATAAATCAACATATAACAGAGCTCGACAGTGGCATGCGTAATCGCACATTTTTTGTTTTTATACATAAAATTGTTAATATCAAGATATTCAGATGCTTAGGTTGCGTGATAACGACAGGCTAAGTGGACTTGTCTGCAACAGTTGGTGTGAACCAGGCTTTCTACAGGGAGTAACGGTCATTCTAAGAAGTTGCTTATGTTAAACATATGTGGCTAGTTGCCAAGCTGGTCTGACACTTAGACTAAGGGGCACTGCAAGACAAGGTGATTGGTGTACAAGAATATTATATTGGTGCAACAGGAGGGTGGTTTAGCAGGATATTCGTACCAACAGAGAAAACATGCAAAGTGGTTTAACATTGTATATACTAGTCTAGAAATCATACAGGTACAAACACACCCAGCTATTCGGGTGGGGGATGGGGGGGGAAGGTACACCAGCTCCCCACTGCATAAAAACCTTGCCTGTAGTAGGTTTTACAAGGAGTATAGTTAATATTCAAGCTAAGGTGGAGTCGCTTATATTATACCTCTGGGAGCATCATTATTGTGTTACTGTACCGCATCAATAATAAGTTAATTAGCGTAGAGAGAGATAAAAGTAGAGAAGGGAAAATCATAAGACAAAATAAAGATAACTTAGTGCTTGGTACTTAAAACTTATGGATTGCTTCTCTTATTATCAGAGAGGGAGTTTGCTCAGATGGCAGTCCCTAGAGCAAGTTCAGCCAATTCCCTTAGGTGGCAGAGCTGTTACTCTGGAGCGTGGTGCCTCCTTGGCCCCAGGCCTGCATGAGGGCCGGCATCTTCGTACCACTGACTTTTGTTCTTCGAGGGACCAAGTCTATCCCCTTCAAGGGGAGGGTGAGAAGGGTGAGTGGCAATCTCCGCTTGTCATAGGTGCCTTTTCTCCCGTGTGGACAATGCCTTGAGGTTTTGCCTCGGGTGGCCCCCGGCCTTGGTGAGCGGTCTCGTGGTTGTGAAATCTTTGTTGCAGATCTTGCGCTCTGAGGAGGCTACACCGTGCGTGGCTGCTCCTGTCTCTTGTTTCCCTTCATCGGTACAGACTTGTGGGTTGTGGTGGCTGTTGTTCGTGCTTGTATTTTCAGCCAGAAGTTCTGGTCTAGCCGCCATAGGGAGTTAGCAGTGGAGTCGCTGAATGCCCTCTCGGTTGCCATGTGCATTTGTGCATGCGGTATCCGCCATCTTGGGATGTTGTTCAGCGGTGCGATAGCTGCTCAATTGACGTGTAGAGCTAAGATGTAAAGCCGATTACTCTCCAGAGGGAACCGGGACATCCCCTGCCGGTCCAGGGGAGGGGGGGGGTAAGAGATTCTCGTCTAGCTATATTCGATTCTGAGGGAGGAAAGCAGCCGTCTCTCCTCCACTCTGTCTCCAGTAGGCCGCAGCCTGCCGCCGCAGTTCTCTGAGCCAAAGGATGTGGGTTAAAGTGCCCAAAGGTAGGGTAAGGTGTCCCCAGCATGGGAAACACAGTGGGTTGAGGTCTCCGGCGTGTTAACCCAGGTTATCCTTGGGGAAGCCACATTAGTGGCAAGAGCTCATGCGATGCGTGTCTCTTCAGCTTGCAGTCCAAGCTCCGCCCCTGTCCAGTCTTTTTAACTAACTCATCAGTGAAACCCAGCCGTGCCGCTTTCGTTGGTGCTCCAATCCAAAAAGAATGTGTCCCAAACTGTGACGCATTCAGGCCCAGATATCCCAAACTTAAGTGAAAGACCCATCCTTGTGGATGAAAAATGAGCCACCGGCCCGCGAGCGAGCTGTTACATACCGGGAAGCATAATCCACTGACCATGCTCTTGAGCCAGGTATATAAGACAATTTAACCAAGCAGCCCTTACTGAACACATCCGTTTTTAATCGGCAGAGATTAATACAAACCTTATCACCCCATACCTCCAAGTCCGAAATCAGAATGCTCCCCGTCCAATACCGGCTATTACTCACCAGTAGTGCTGTCACGAACCGTTCACGAACTTCCTGCGAACGGCTCGCCGCGGTTTTCCGCGAACCTTTCGCGGCGAGCTCCGGTCAGCTGACACATCCCGGCCAATCTCCAGCAGACCCTCCCTCCCAGACCCTCCCACCTCCTGGACAGCATCCATGTTGAAGGCATCCATGTTAAAGGCAGCTTCAACATGGATGCTGTTCAGGAGGTGGGAGGGTCTGGGAGGGAGGGTCTGCTGGAGATTGGCCAGGATGTGTCAGCTGACCGGAGCTCGCCACGAACGGTTCGTGGCGAACAGCAGAGAGCCGTTCGCGGGAAGTTCGCGAACGGTTCGCAACATCTCTACTCACCAGTTCACTGATACAAAAGGCTGCAAAAAATACCCAAACAAATGCAGCGTAAAACAACAAGAATTCGTTGTGAGAAAAACAAACCCCTGTAGTGCCTCAGGCAGCTGGAGTAGCAAGTTAAAGGAGACTAGTGATGGTCTCCTAGTGTCGGGAGCTTTTTTACCTTTTTTGTAACCTTTAAGAGCTTGACGGACCAGAAAGTGTTTTGTCCAATCCTCCCAGCCATTTAATTTGAAGAGGAACGCCAATGCCGCTAGATTACGATCCACCACCGCTGTGGAGGCACCAGACGCGAACAACCAACACTGAAACCATAACATAAGATCTAAACGTACCTCAGCCAAGTGATTTTCCTCAATTCAGCCGCAAACTGCATCCCAAGAATCCCATACTTTACTGTACGCTGTCCATGTACTTGGTGCCAATGACTCTCTGAATAGCCCTCCAAGCACGAATTCCTGAGATGCCACAGATAGCTCGGGCAAGATAAACCTTCCGCCTGGGCTTCTGGAGGTACCGCGCGGAATTCTGCCCACTGTAAACGAGAAAGCGAATCAGCGATTATGTTCAAGAAGCCAGGTATGTGACGTGCACGAAAAACAATATTAAATTACATACAATGTAGGACAAAATGCTGAAGCAGCCGTACCACTAGGACGGAAGAAGCCGTCAAGTTATTTAACGCATACACTACCGACATCGGTGACGAAGACAACTTTCTTGTCCTGAAATATGGGCCCCCATAGCGACAAGGCCACCAGTAATGGAAACAGCTCCAAAAATGTCAAGTTCCTAATGAGCGCGCTAGACACCCAAGAGGAAGGCCAACGTTCCGCACACCATTGTCCGGCGAGGTAGGCGCCAAAGCCAACACTGCCTGATGCATCTGTGAACAGTTCCAATTCCGTTGACTAGACTGCCTTATCCCAAAAGATGACCCGGCCATTAAAATAACGTAAGAAACATTCCCAAATTCCCAAGTCCTTCTTCGTGGGCCCCAAGACCCTGATAAAATGATCAGGCGCCCGTATACCACAGGTGGCTTTTGCCAAGAATCTATTGAACACCCTCCCTACCGGGATCACCCGACATGCAAAATTAAATACTGAGGAATCCAGGGAGCTGGTGAGGTGTACCCGAGTGCGGCTATTTCTGCCCACCCGTTCACATGTGGACCTAGGGTCATCCCCATTGTCCATCTCTGGAGGGGGTACCCGGTTGAGTTTTAAAGGGAGTGAAGTAGCGTCTGGGCTGTGACTTGTTAGCTGCAGGCGCTGGGCAGAATGGTGAGATTGATTGCAAGCAAGGGAGTCAAGCCGTGGAGAGTTAGGGACAAACAGGAACATTCCTGGCCGACAATTGGATTCTCCATGCCTTACACTGTCCCCTCCATAGTTAATGTCTCTGCTATTGGCCCTGGGGGCTGACTCACCCGATATAGTAGGTGCTGCTTCCTGATGCTTGCAGTTCCTTTTGCCCACCGTCTGTTTACTTGCTCTTTTTTGCCTACCAGGATTGCCTCCCAATGGCTGGGGGTCTCTGTTAGCCTTGTTCCGCTTCTCTCCTCTTTTTGGGCTCTTGGAGGGCCCCTGATGGCTGGGGACCTATGTTATCCAGATTCCTTGGCTGGATTGTGACCGCCAGAAATCGCTGCGTCACGTGTTCCCGGCCGCACGCCTCACTTTGCAGCAGACCTCCGAGGCATGTGGCTGCAATTATCTTTCGTCTGCGACCTTGGAGATGCACCCGCGAGCCTTCACTCTCCATCCTGGCTGCTGGGGTCACTCAGGAAGGGGTTATCCTCTGGTATGGAAGCCGGTTCTCTCCAGGACTGAGTCTTTGCGGCGGCCTAGTTCACCAGGCCGTCCTTCGCGCCTGGATCCTTGCCAATCCTGCTGCTCCCATTGTGGTCCTCCAACGATCCTGCGTCCATGCCACACCGTGGTCCGCTATGGCTACCCGGACACCAGCAATGAAGGCCTCAACATCGTACTCCGCATCCATAGAACCTGAAAAACAAAAGAGAGAACTCCACACCAATGTGCAGCAACAACAGGTAAGTGTGAATTAAATTAGAAAGGGGGCTTTACCTAACATGGCAGCTTTTTATATGGCTATAGGCCACTCCTTCCATACTTCCCTAATCCACTCCCCCAGATCCATCTGCCTGCCTCCTAGCTAGGTCAAGGCCCACTCCACTTAGCTTCGCTGTTCCCTGGGCTCCATTCTGTTACGCTTTGCACAAACTTTTGGATTGTGTCTGTGAAAATTTGTGCACATTTAACTGAAGAGCATTTGTGAGACCAGGCATTGTGTAGGACCAGAAAGTCTAGCTCACTCACAATTAGCATTCCAATACATGCTCAAGGTGTCCAATGGGGTTGAGGGTTGTCTACCCCTAGGACACTGTAATGTCTTTTTATCCTGTGGCATTACGATAACCCTTTACTGGAACTAAGTGAAGACCATTTTCTCTCCCCGACCAAACTTCACAGTAGGCGCTATGAATTCTAGGAGGTAGTATTCTCCTGGCATTCTCTGCAGCAATATTCTTTCATCAAGCTCAAACACACAGACATAAGCCATGGGCTCAAACTCCCATTACTACTCGGTGGCAGCAATGGCTACAGTATTAATCAGCATAAACACATAGAACAAAATGCAGTATAACAAAATATATCCCTATGCATATTCAAAAAAGAAAAGTTTGTTGTAAAACTAAAAGTGTAGCTCGCCTACTTAGTCAGGAATGCACTATTCAACTATGCGCTATTTTTAAATTTCTATTGTCATACTTGCAGTTTTGATATTTGTATATATGTGTATTGTTTTGCATGTCTCATAAGGTCTGAGAAACGAGAAATACTGGACAAGTTGTTATTTTTTACAAATATCTCAGCAAAAGATGAATGAATGCTGAAAAAAAATACTTTAAATGCACTTCATTTAAGTTTTAGGTATCAAAGAACTGCATTCCGTGTATGTTACTGCATTTTGGTCTGTTTCCATTTTGCTTTTTTTCCTCTAGAAAGAATTTGTTAAAGGGTTGCTCCGAGCACCATGGCCAGTTTGCTAGTTTAAAGTCTGTAATGAGTCTGTATCTGTAGTTTTTCCACTATGAAACGCTGTGATATTCCAGGACTTCTGGCTGAAGCTACCAGAGCCGTGCACAAGGTACCTTGTAAAGGTGGCTGGAGTTGTGTGAAGGAGGAGTGCTGCTGGGAGGGAATGGGACCCCTCCAGGCATTCACTCCACACAAACACCTCTACATTCTGCAGTCCGCCTGCCTTGGCCAAGAACCCATTGTGGCACTGCCTCCAGGCATCTGCCACACAAGCGAATGATCGCCCGTCGTAAAAGGCGCCTACCACCTCTACCCTCTGCTTACCCTGGCCAGGGGAAGGACTTGCTCCCAGGGGGCTCCCAAGTCCATGGACTAGTTATACTGGCCTTAACACAGGCCTGTGGCCAGAGGAAGTAGACAGTGGTGGAGTGGGAACCTCTATAGACAGCGGTGGAGTGGGGGCCTTCATAGACAGTGGTGGAGTGGGGGCCTCCATAGACAGCGATGGATTGGGATCCTCCATAGACAGCGGTGGAGTGGGAGCCTCCATATACAGCGGTGGAGTGGGCGCCTCCATAGACAGGAGTGGAGTGGGGGCCTCCATAGACAGCGGTGGAGTTGGAGCCTCCATAGATCAATGTCTGAATCGTATAGCTGTCACTTGTAATTGCTGCTAAGATTGGACAAGAGTTGACAGCAGAGCTCCGATTATGTCAACCTTAAATTTTCCATAAAATAAAGTAGTCCCCAGTTTGTCTTATGATATCTTTGGATCCAATAAAATTCCATTGAAATAAGAATCAGTATTTCAGAAAGATTGTATATTTATGAAAGACTGAAAAGTGGCAGAGACACTTTGATTAGCGTGGTGCTCACAGGGCTACATTGTAGGATTTCATGGTCTGTGCTAACAAAAAAATACTTATTTTCTCAGTGTCTCTGATGTCTACTTTGTTTTATGGTGTATTTATTCTTTTTTTTTTTTTTTTTGCTATTTCCCATCTTTTGTTTTTTTAGCATATGTCCCACTTGAAAACGAGAGAAATCTCAATGTATCCATCCTGGTAAAATAGTTTATAAATAAATAAATAAATCAGGCTTTTATTTTTTTGCCTTGTTTTGTTTTTTATTATATTTTTATGACTTTTATGCCCTCTCCATTTTAATGTGTCTCCTACTCTCTTTTTGCCCCCTCTAAGTATACTCTCCTTTAGCCTTTTTCCATTCTTGTTTTTTTGTATGTCATCCCTGTTTGTGATTGCCCACTGTCTTTTTGTCTTCCTCGCAAGTCTTTTAAAGTGTCCTTCATGTTTAATGTGCCCCCAAATCTTTTAATGCAGCTCTGTCTGTTTTAACACAATTGTTGTCTCATTCTGTTTCCCACCTTGTCTTTTAGAGTGCTTCCCTTAGTGTTTTTTTTTTTTTTTTTTACAATATAGCTTTTGTTGTGTAGAGCGCTTGTGATTTTAATGGACATCACTTGCCTTTTGTGTGTATAAACAAAAAGAGAGGAATACCCCACACTTACTATAATCCTGGTGCAACCAGACCTGGGGTTGGCAATGCCTCCTGTGATAGTTGAACAAAAATTGTAGTCCAGACACTCAAGGATCAATTCAGCAGGATTATTGGAACAAAGTGCAACGTTTCGATCCCACAAGGGATCTTTCTCAAGCTATGGGATTGCACTTTGTTCTAATAAACCTGCTGAATTGATCCTTGAGTGCCTGGACTACATTTTTTGTTCAACTATTGCCTTTTGTGTGTGTCTTGCTGAGTTTAGGGTGCCATCCACTCATCCTTCGAGTTTAATTGTGTTTTTGCTGTTTTTGATTGTTTTATAGTG